ACTATCTTTCTGTACCACCCAGACCCTTCAGAATCGACAACATTGCCTGGTCGAAGCCGCCACATATGCCGAAGAATGTCGGCAGCTAGCAGGTTCGCTAACTACGTACGATCAGGCTCGCCAGAAACACTCGCATGACCGACGCTCACCCCCTGCGTCATACGTGCCTGGGACAATCGTGTGGCTCCGCGTGCCATCGTCTGCCCCAGGCCTTTGCTCAAAGTTCATACCCAAGTATGACGGTCCGTACCGGATCCTGTGCCAGACTTCCCCAGTCAACTACATAGTTGAACCTATTCAGCCACCTACAGATCAACGGCGCCGTCGGCGCGAGGTTGTGCACGTCGAGTGTCTAAAACTTCACTACGACCCACCAGTCCTGTCTGTGCCATAGGTCACCAGGATGGCTCCTTTCGCACCAGGGAGTCAATGTAGTGACAAATACGGGCTCTAAAAACGACGAAGAAGACGTTTGTTGTGGCGGAGGCTCGTGCTGCTGCAGCTGCTGCTGAAACCGCTGGTTGCTGTCTCGGTTCTGTTAGGCCCAATAAACGGTTGCTCCATCCCGGCATGCGTCTAACAGTATTCTTACAATATATATATATATATATATATATATATATATATATATATATATATATATATATATATATATATATCCTTAGAAAATCTGGGATGCTCACGAAGTGGGCGTAATTTTAACAAAACAATCTACAGTACTTCTGAACCGTTTAGTTAGAACAGTGAGACGCAGTTTACGCTAAGCACTGCAGACAGGCTTTGTGGGCGAAAACCAAATGCAACCAAGTGCATTAAGAAACACGCGTGGCAATGTATATGCGTGCGTGTGTGGGGGGGTGTAACTGCTGCAAACATTCGCAATAAATTTCCCGTGCTCACAAAGAATTCCACTGGTTATCAGCGGACATCCTCTTTTTATGCATATATTGCCTATCCTTCCTATGGCCCACTGAGAATTTTCAAAATTGGTTCACTTATTCAATGCATATGTTCTGTGCAACCACCGAAATAACTGTAATGATGTTCATCCATGTTGCTGTAGAAACTCGTAGATTTACGTGAATTAAAAAATAGAAAATACTTTATAAAGTTATTACCAAAAAATAAAATTTCAACATGCACAATACCACCGAGGCAGCGCATTGCTGTGTGATAATTTTTCAACTTTTCTTTTCTTGGCCTTGGCTCGACTCCACAACAACATCCATCCAGCATATTGGCTCTCCATCAAGGCCGCCTGCAGGTTGACATTGCTGAAGATTTCTGCGTGAGGATTGCGGGCAATGTGGTTACCATGAGTGACGAAGTTCTCGGGGATGTTCCCGTAGCAGGAGTTTCTGAACTCAATACGCTTTTCTCACTCGAGGAACTGGATGCAGCTCTAGCCACCTGCAGACGTTCATCGTCACCTGGGCCGGACGGTATTACATACGCTGCTTTATGCCATCTTGGAAGACGCGGCCGAGATCAGCTACTAAAATGCTACAACCAGTCATGGAACGATGGCGTAGTTCCAGAAAGGTGGAAATCCAGCCGCTTGGTACCAATCCTCAAATCTGGAAAGTCGCCGCTTGATCTGGCGTCATATCGACCCATCGCGCTATCCAGCTGCGTGGAGAAAATAATGGAAAGAATGGTTCTGACCCACCTCGAGTGGTACCTTGAACGCTATAATATATACCCAGAGGCCATGGCTGGTTTTCGAAGAGGCCGCTCTTCTATTGATAATGTCATCGACCTCGTAACCTCTGTGCAATAACAGAAATACCTCAAGCGCATCTCGGTTGCAATGTTCCTCGATGTGAAAGGTGCATATGACAACGTAACGCACGATGTCATCCTAGATTCCTTGGCGAACATTGGAATCAGTGGAGAAATGTTTCGATGGATTCGTAGCTACCTACAGAGGATATCCTTCTTCGTGCTCACTGCGGAAGGCCGCACCGTTGATCATTACACCGCTCGTGGCGTTCCACAAGGTGGGGTTCTCAGCCCTACGCTGTTTAACCTCGCGATCATTGGCCTTGTACAAAGCCTACCTCGATCAGTCAATATCTCTACATACGCTGATGATATATGTATCTGGGCTTCAGCAGTGACACGACTCCAGGTACGCGCACGGCTCCAGAAAGCAGCGAGAATAACGTCGACGTACCTCCATGCTCGAGACCTCATAATTTCCACCGAGAAGTGCGCCTTAGTCCCTTTTACCCGCAAGCCCATGATCTGTTATCCTGTTTCTATCGACAACGTGAACTTTTCGTATATGAGACGTCACCGATTCCTGGGCGTCACTATCGACAGAGATCTCTCGTGGAGTGCTCACATTTCGCGCTTGAAGAAGAAGCTCAGCTCTATCACACACGTGATGAGATTTCTCGCTGGTAAAACTTGGGGCACATCAGTGTCATCTATGCTTCAGCTGTACAGAGCGCTCTTCTTGGGATATTTGCGGTATAGCACGCCCGTGCTTTCCAACGCCGGAAAAACTAACATCGGGGTCCTGCAAAGCATTCAAGGCCAAGTGCTCCGCACTTGCTTGGGGCTACCTCGGTTCGCCAGTACTTTGGCAACAATTGGTATTGCTAAAGACCATCCGATCACGACATACATAACTGTCGACACACTCCGGACACATATCCGTCACATATCCAGAGTGCCTAACCACCACCTTGCTAGCTTGCCACTATAAAGACCAAAGGCAGCGTTTTCCAAAGTTGTTGCGGCTAACCAGAGTTCCATCTCGTGGAGATTCTCGCCTGCAACCATACCACTATCTCCAGAGTGGTGCATGAAAAGACCGACTGTGCACCTTGAAGTGCCGGGGATATCTAAAAAGGCAAGCCTGTCATCTGCAGCCCTCAAGCAGATCTCACTGGACCTCTTGCATTTGTCGTATGCTAACCGAATTCATGTTTACACGGACGGTTCGGTCTCGGGAAGTTCGACAGGTGCCTTTGTCATACCATCTCGATCAATCACCGACAACTTCAAGACATCACACGTCACGACATCTACGGGATCCAAGCTCGCCGCTCTTCAAGCCGCTGTGGAGTTTGTTACGCAAGAATCCCCTAGTAGATGGGCCATTTTCTGCGACTTCAAGGCAGCCCTTCAATACGTGCGAAGTTTACGACGTGGAAACTACCACCAGATGGTGTATCGTATTAATGAAATTTGTCATCGCGCTGCTGATCAAGGGCATGACATTATTTTACAATGGTTGCCGGGCCACTGTGGCATCAGTGGTAACCACCTCGCCGACGACGCTGCCCGATGTGCCCACGATGGAGCGCCCCCATTGTTAATACCCTTGTCAAGAGTAGACGCAGCTAGAGAACTTCGTCACATTGCGCATATGCCACGCTTGCGCACTGGAATTCTCCACTTAACTCCAATCATCACCCTACGAATCTTAAGTCATTACGTCAGAAACAACTGCCATCCAAGAATTCTCGACGTGACGCTACAATGCTGTGCCGGTTGTGGACTGGGGTAGCGTTTACTAAGTCATTCAGCCATCGCATTGGCATGGCGGATTCATCCATGTGTGAAAGCTGCAACTGTATAGAGACTATTGAACATCTCTTGTGCCACTGTGCCCAATTTTATGAAGATCGCCGGACTCTCCAGTGTGCCTTGAATAGACTCGATGATCGGCCATTTAATGAAGCAAAGATCTTAGGAGCCTGGTCGCGCAGCACATCAGCACAGAAAGCTACACGAGCCCTCCTGAGATACTTGTCAGCAACTTTATTGAGGGAACGCCTGTGAAACTCGACATTGTGTGTGTGATGTGACGTGTGTCTATCCTTCTCTCTCTTTTTTACTCCCCCTCCCCATGTGTAGGGTAGCAAACTGGACGCATAGTCTAGTTAACCTCCCTACCTTTCCTACATTCCTTCTCTCTCTCTCTTCAACTTTTCTCTTTACTAAATTTGTAATTTTTAGTTCAGATTGTTTCCGACATGCTCTAGACCACGCATCCAAAGTTTCATCGAAATTAGTTTTAGACTTCTTTAGCAAAAGCACACAGAACTTTCAAAAAAATATAAATAACACAAATTGAGAAAAATGAAGTTTCGTATGCGCATACTGCTTGCGCTAGAGGGCGCACAGCGCACTTTGGCGCGGTATTTAGACAGTTTGGAGCGGGCGCTAGACGTCGGGCTCCAACAGGCGTGTTTCCAGGAACGTAGTAGATTTTTCGTTGTCGAAATTACCGAGTCGATCTTTGTATGAGTTTACCCCACCATAAACATTATTTGTTTTCCTGCATATATTGGCGTATTTTCTCATGTGCTTCCTTTGTACTTGCCTCTGTTTACTGAATGTCTTTGGATCATGTATGGCATCATGAAATAAATAAATAAATAAGACTTAATCCCACCTAAAAATATAACTTGCCATATGGTTGATATAACTTCTCAATATGGCTGAAAAGACGCTGTTTCATTGTGACATTTGAACAAATATTCCGTCAACAACTTCTCGCAACATACACGTCAATGCGTTTCTTACGCGATCGCCCACATGCCGACGCGCAGCATCATAACAGCCAAATGGCCCACATCGTGATTATTTATCCCGAATTTCGGTACTACTTTTATTCTCTACTGACAGCGCAAATGTTACGTTCCTCATTTGCAGCACATTCATCAGACCTACTGTGACTCACGTATGGGAAGAGAGACAACCTGTCAAGGTGAAAAATACTATTTGACAATTAAAAAATCCCGAAGCAGTTCTGAATTGCAATAGAGTAACGCGTCCAAAAAAATTGCCAATATAACGTACACGATGTGGTTATCTGCAGCACGTGCACCTAAGTAGCAGCAGGAGCAAACAATTATTTCCGTGTACCTATTCTCCAGAAAGCGCTGCATCATTGCTCAACAAACGTGATAATTACCACGTTCAGTAGATATGGCACATGCGAGCCCATAAACTGTGTATTTCAGTCAATCTGGTCCACTCACCCTGTCATTGTACCATGGTTTTTCGGCCAGCATGGTGAAGAACGTGAGGGTGCCCTGAGACATGCCGATGTAGAGCAGATCTTTGCGCTTTGCCTCCCTCAGAATGTAGTCGATGTGGGCTGGGACGTCAAAGATGGCGTGCTCGTGAAATCTGTGGACGTAGTGTTATTAAAAAGAGAAACTTTCATACAGTCATTACTGTTCTCTTTATCACTCTTTTTTTAATAGATAGTTTTGCTTTTTACGTGCGACTATTGACGTAATATCATGTATATATATATATATATATATATATATATATATATATATATATATATATATATATATATATATATATATATATATATATACCAGTATATATAACCAGTTTCCCGATCGGACGACATGCGCCGGCGTGCATCCCGACTGAAACCGTACCATGAGCCTCTGCCTAAAACTTCTTAAGTCGCCAGGATGGCTCCTTTTTCAGCGGGGGCGATTGTGAAGAAGAAGATGTGCCTGCAGCGAGCAGCATCGCCAACGCCCGTCTCTCTCGGCTCGTGCTTCGGTTCGTTGCTGTGCCGATCGCTCGACGGTTGTTCACGCTGTCTCGTCGCTGTCTTAAACGACTCATAAACCTCCTCACATTATATATATATATATATATATATATATATATATATATATATATATATATATATATATATATGCTACGTTTCTTCTCGACTCTTGTTTTTTGTCGGTGTACCATTGCAGTACTTTGTACTTGGTTATCCTTCAAATAACTATGTATGATTGTTCTATGCCGTACTGCTGTGTTCAGTGATTATGTGTTCTTTATTATTCTGATTTTTCTTGTTTCAAACGTCGAAATTTGTGACAGTGATGCTCACCCTTGTAATAATCCCCATGGGGGATTGACAGTATTTTGTAAATAATGATAAATAATCTATATATTGTAGTGGGTGAGGTCTGTATATATATTTATCATCAGCCTGACTACGGTTCACTGCTAGACAAAGCAAAGGCATCTCCCATGTTCCACCAATCAGCTCGGTCCTGTGCTTGCTGCTGCCATTTTACCCCACAAACTTCTTAATCTCATCTACCCATCTAACTTTATGTCTCCCCCTAACCCGCTTGCCTTCTCGGGAAATCCAGTTAGTTATCCTTAATGACCAGTGGTTATCCTGTCTACGTGCTACATGCTCGGCCCAATTCCACTTCCTCTTCTCGATTTCAACTATAATATCCTTAACCCCGGTGTGTTCCCTGATACACTCGTCTCTCTTCTTGTCTCTTAAAGAAGCAGTGACATCAAATTTTAAGATCGAGATGTGCCCATCATTCGATCGCTTGGTATGCATAGGTCGTCTTGGCCTAATTTGAATGGCCTCCGTCGCGTGGAAGTCACTTGAATTCGATACCAAACAGCGTAGAAAAGCAAAGGAGAAGCGAAGGAGAAGCGAAGGAGAAGCGAAACGAAGCCCTGCGACATCGACGCTAGCGCTACGTGTTTGGTCTCCAGCTTGTAAGCGGGCGTCGTTCCTCAGCTCGTGTGCCCCCGGTATTCCTTGCAGCAGGTCTCATTGGTTGACGCTGGGTTCCTAGGTCCGGGAGGTAGAGTTCTCGCATTCCCTGCAGACGTTCTTCGACCGTCTTGGGTCCGCGCATTTGTATTTGCTTCTGGAGATCCGGACTTAAACCATGAATGATAAGTGGAACCACAGACGTCTCAGGCAAAGATGAGTCCGCCAGCTGTAGCAAGCGCCTTTTCTCATAAAAATAGCTGAGTGCAGATCCGGACCTGTATTTGAACGTGATTGCTTTGTCCCATAGCAACACCTTGTTCTCGCTGAAGGAGCTCATAAAGCTTGCTTTCCACTCTATCCATGGTTTGTTGCCGTGAGCGTTGAGACGCCATTCGTACCAACTCTTTGCTATGCCCGTTAGGAATAGTCGCATGTTTTTCACTTTATCTTCGTCGCTGTGCCAGTAGTTTTTATTGCATGTACACTCGTAAAACGTGAGCCAGGATTCGGCACTACTAGACTCCCCGCCAAATATGTCTGGCTTCACGTGTTCGCGACTCGGTCTGCTTAATATTTCCGTTGCGTTTACAAGCAAGCGCATTAAATCATTTTGCTGCCTATTCTGTTCTTGGTGCAGTTCAAGAAATTTGTTAATCAGCTCGACGGAACTCTTAGGCGAAGCAGCGGTAGCAGGCTTCGCGTCGTTTCTTACTGGAGTCAGCACGAAATTCTGATAATCGTGAAGTTTCATGTTGATCCTCACCGTTCTTTTCGCAAGTAAATAGTCTGGAGTGAGGTTCATTTTAGTGCTTATACAGGAAACAAATTTGTCAGTGCTCACTGCTTCCGGAAGTGCTAGTTCCTCTTCATCTTGAGGCGTTGCGGTCAAGATCCGGATGCCACCGCGTTGATTTGCTCCAATGGTGAAGTCCACCCACATCTTGAATGTCCGCACAGAAAGTATACGCGGCTGCGCCAATTTGTAATAATACACAGTACTAGGCTGGGGTGTAAATTCCACAAGTATCATCCTGAGTGACGATACGCTAGTAACGATGACGTCGACGATCTGATAGCAATTGGAGTCAACTCCCGACTATGCTCTCACTAATGGCTCTCCTTGCTGTGTTGAAGCGTGCACGCGGTTGATTGTGTCGCATCGACTGATTAGGCGTGTGCTCCACAGCGTGAGTACGATCACTCAGAACGACAACACGTGCCGAAATAACGAGAAATCGGTGCGCAGTGGGAACCTGCACGTCGAGGCGCGAAAAAAGCGAAAATTCATGTCTTTCCAAGCACGAAGCTCATCGCAGCCAGTGCGTTGACTTCGCAGGCGCCGATCGACAGAGGCACTGAACGCCTTTGAAGAACAGCCGCATTTGCTCACTTGATTTTGCGCCAAGCTGCTGAATTGTAAATCCTGTGTTGACGAAACAGTTTTGTTTCACTGGCAGTACGGGGCCCCTTTTCGAGGCCGGGGCTAAAGGGAGAGGGAAAGAACGAGTTGGCGCTACCTAACCTAGCCGACGAAAAACTCGTGGATGGGCTTTAGTCTACACTATCAGAGGCACAGCTGGACTGACTGTACGTGTGCTCCTAGCAGACGAAATGCCAGTGTGCGTGACGTCACCATTTTTGAGGAGGCAGCATCAGCTGTGCAGCGGCCTCTACTTGGCCGCGAGGTAGTCCTGACAGCACTACAATTTGGTGTGCTTTCGACGCATTTTGAACCACGATTGATAACAGATATATTAGTCACTAATACAGATAATCATTCGTAGCTCAGATGCGTTTTAGGTCACGAATCGCTACTAGGGGGTCGATAGGTACTCGTTCACGCAAAAATCTTGACATGAGTGAATTTGATGTCAGTGCTCCTTTAGGGTTACACTTACCATTTTCCTTTTCATTGCTCACTACGTGGTCCTAAAAAGCAACCAGCACACAATCCAAGTTTTCGATTAACATACGAGGAAACCTAACATGCGATTCCTCTAATGTGGTATACCTACTCAAATGCAACGTGTGTGGTATGCAGTACATCGGACAAACAGAAACACCATTTAGGATTCACTTCAATAATTACAAAGCCCATGCGAAATCAGCCCCAAGTCTACCTCTATCAAAACATCTCAATCTTCCCGACCATGCATTCGACAAACTATCAGTAACCCTCTTAGAAACGGGATTTAAATGAAATCGAGATCGTGAACAACGAGGGTCATACCTTATCCACATATTTAACACCCCCGATAGAGGAATAAATGAGAATCTTGGAACACTTGCAGCAATTGAAGCATTAGAAAACAATAACGGCAATGAAAATAGTAACTGAGTTCACGGCACTGCAGCTGCGAAGGGCACTGGACAACTCAAAACAATTCCAAGTGTAACTACTCTTGCTAAGTGCAGCTGTCGTCTGTTTTCTGTTTTGTTTTACTATTCAATCAATTGTGCCATGCATGACATGCCCAACAGTAACCCTGTGCACAGCCGGGAGGCCCCCACTGCACGCGTAATCCAGAAGCGGGCAAGGAATTCGCATTGCGCCCGCTTACCAGCTTCTGCCGCAATACGCAGAACCCCTCTTTCTACTACGAAATGTTGACGGGACCCCGAGTAGTTAAAGGCTTAAACTTTCTAAAATGCCCGCTTATCAGCCTCTGCCTCAATACGTGGTTCCCCTCTTTCTACGAAGAAATGTTGACAAGGCTCTGAGTAGTTAAAGGCTTAGAACTTCCTAAAAAAGCTCTTTTTTGCCCCACACCGAACTGCCAGTGCCAGGAGGCGCCGTCTGGTCGGGAAGAATGCGTTAGTGAAAGGAAGCATACACAGACCACTGACATCAGAAAGGTGAAGGGGAGAAAGGGGAGAGAGATGAAGTGGAATTGGAAGGAAGAGTGGAAGGGGGGCGCCCGAGGGGAGTCCACCTTATATTCTTTTTTCTCTTTTTTTATTTTTTCTTCTTTCTTTTTCTTTTTTTCTTTTTTTCTGTCTTTTTCCTCTTTCCTTTCCCTCTGATTTGAGATTGTATCAAGCTGAGCACCAACAAACTGTACCTTTAATCCTGATGAAGGCCAGGCTCTAGGCCAAAACGTCGAAATAAACCACGTTGTGACCGCTCACGGAGGATCTACTGGACTGTATGCAACGCTACGGCCACTCAACCACCATGCCTGCCTATATATATATATATATATATATATATATATATATATATATATATATATATATATATGGCATAATTCGAAGGTCGCAGGTTTGGTTCCTGCACACAGAGAGTTATCTTTTCACCCACTTTTCTTTCTTCACATTTACATTACAATGCGGTCAAATAGCTTCCCCTATACTTTGCTTGGCACTATTGTCTGTTATATCTCATTAATAATGTGTCAAAACACAGAAAAAAGAGCCCTTAACCCTTTAATGCCTGAGTTATGATTTTGTCTAACAAAATGAAAATTGTTTTCTTGTTCCAGCTTTAAATAGAAACTTTTAAATGATTCGGCAGTGAAATTATCTAAAATAGAACTTTGATGCATACTTTTATGTATGTGACAAATTTTCCATATGCAACAGAAGCGAGGCCCTGGCAACAAAAAACGTACCTCAGAACTACGTACATGTCATGCGCCAC